ACCCTAAATAGTTGTTACGCCCATATTTTCGTACGTGAAAGTACGACATAAATAAATTGATAAAAGCTCGAAAATGAGATGTTACATCCCGCATTTTCGTACATTAAAGTTTTGCCGTAAGTTAATCGACGTACGATCGGGAATGAGATTATTTTGAGGTTATAAGTATTATGCTAGTTCAAACAAGTGATAAGTAAATTCGTGAAGGTGAGTTTCGTCGAAGTTTGATATTTTGGGATAAAATACAGTCTAAGGTATAATAACCGGTATTTATGGACTTGTGCCATACAAGGTACCACGTGACCATGATAGTGAGGTGTATAAGGTATGTTAAAAGTGAGTAGTATTTTCAGTAATTTGAGATAATTCTTAATTATGTGGGTAATTGATTAATTATTGGTTAATGAAAAATTAACAAGTTAATCAAGAGATTGGTGGATAATTAATTAAGATTATGGATAATCTTAGGAGCCCCCTAACATGGCAACACACTAGCCCAAATAAGTGACTCTTACTCCATGTAGCAAGGTGTCACATTTAAAGAAATTTGTGGCCAAGTCATCACATAGTGGGGCCCACACCAACTAAGAATAAAACCCCCTCTAAATTACTTAAGAAAGGTGCTTGCATCTCTACAATGAATTAAAGGGGAGTTTTAGCCAATTTCATACAATTATATATGTGATCTGCTACAATCAAATCTCACGCAAGACTACTTAATACTCAGCAACGTGAGATTTTGCGATTCTAAGAAAGACGGTGCAATCCTTCTCAAGAACATCATACGGATTTTTCCCTACTTCGATCCGCCGTTACGTATTTTTCGCAAAAGACGTGTGTTGGAAGGATTGTCAAGAGAATCGGCTCAGGTATGTTAAGGATATCCCTTCTTTCCTTTTGGCATGATCCATACGATACAAGCGAAACGAGCAAATGCACAACTTCCATAAATGACTCTATTAATAAAAACACTAGAGATGCATATGTTCTCGATTCACCACGTGTCCTATTGTTTTATCATCTGTTCATGGGTCTGAGAAAATACGCAAGTTAATAAAGTTTACTTCATGACATTAATCAAAGGCATAATGGTCTTATGACGTTCTAAGAGATTTCATTGACGTACTTCTCATGCATTGCATTCATTTATACATGTACATTGACCCATGACCAAGTAAATATCTTCCATACACATTATTCTTTGAGGAAGTTGACACAAATCACATTTTTTTTTACGGGTGGATCACTAAGCTATCCAATAAATAAATACCTAATTGGAATTCAATTTGCTTATTTTTATTTCAAGAATATTAAACTATACTATTTAGGGATTGATCTAATATTTAGGATTTTGAAGTCAATTATTAAAGGTATTATCCACTCGAAAATTTAACATTGTGCAATAGAATCATGACTTTGCATAGACTTTCAATTTCAATTTCCTTCTCTTATAAATATGAAGTATGGAATATTTCATGTTGTAGAAACGTTTTAACGCATAAGCTGAATTTTCATGTATAATAATAATCGCAAGAAATATATTTCTTTCATGGATGATGAAAAATTGAAGGTAGAGTCAAATGGAACTATTGGCACTACAAAAATATAAGAAAGATCTCATGGCAACTATTGCTGGTTGTATAACAGCCAGAGCCATCAACGATATTTTCCTTGCTAAGATAACATGATCTTTAGCGTATATGTATTAAAAAAATTATTTTATTTTGTCATCTTAGAAGTATATATTTGCTAATGCAAACAGTCTAATACTTTTTGCAAGGTTAATATATAAGTATTAAAATCGCCGGACGTGTTCATATTGAAATAGAAAATACATATATGATTTTGTAAATAGATAGTAGGTGAAGTTTTTCTTTTTTGATCATATTTAATTGATATACATATTTCTTTCCGAAAGAATAAAAGCTATAACCAATTGACCATCAATTTAGCAAATATACGCAAAAGAAAATAAGTAGTTGATAGTTCTTGGGGTTCTTTTTGGGCATCAAAGTAATAGAATATTTTAGATTTCTCCTAGTTCTTTATTAATGGGATATTAAATTTGCATGTACATAAAATTAATAGATTTTAAGCATAAAAAAAATAATCTAATGGATGTTTAAAAGAAGGAAACACTAATTCCTTTTTCCCTTCCCTCATTATAAATTTGTATACTTAAAACAATTATCTATATCTATCTATTCCCTTTAATTTTGAGTATAAGTTAATCAACATGAAATTATCTCTTTAAAAAATTATTAAACCAACCTAAATATCCATAATTTTGGCAAGAAAGAGAGAAGACAAATGAAAATAGTGCATTAACTTCAATGATAACTAACAATTAAAATTCTCAAGGTCCATAATATATATTGAAGTACTATTCTTGTCCAAGTGGAATTGGTAAAGGGATTAGCTTGATGAGTTCTTGGAGTATATTTATCATGCTACTCAATTAGAGATATTTAATAGTGCATTAGCGAAAGTTAGATGATAATTATCAAGTATATAAATTTATAGTTAAATTAGGGTAAGAGGCACTTTAAAGTGTTCTTATGCAAGTAGAATTGTAGAACCAGTAGGAAATACCGATTCAAATAGTAAAATAATTGAGTTAAAGTTGGGTTCTTATAAGAATTGATGATACTTTTAGATTTTTTTTTTTGGAGAAAAGACTGAAATAGTAGAATGAAGTAGCATGACAAGAGAAGACTCCTAGGTTTACCGTGAACCATGATTTTCTACTTTTTTTTCGAATATTTCAAAATCTTATGTTTATTAAAAATAAAAGTAGGGTAAAGTCCGTACAATTTGTTCTTTAAGGGAATGAATAGAAAAAACAACCAACTTATTTTGAACTTTCTGACAACTTTTATTTGTATAGCTGATAAAATGAATTTGCAAAGGAATATTTTATTATACTCACTTTGAGATGTTGGTTTTTTGTCGGTTTACTTTCTCATTGAACTGCTTTTCAATGGCAATACAGATACTTGATGTTGTTTAATTCATATATACTTTCACACTATCGGTACGTATCTTCGGAAAAGTCCATTAATTTGTTCTAAATCATCCTTTAGACTTATGTAGTTGTTTACTTCCTAAATGTTGATTCTAATTCTTCAAAAGCATCGTTTGATTTCAAAAATCTTTCAATTGAAGAAACTATATCTCTTTTTTCTTATTATTTGAGCTTACTTTTATATATGTTGTATGCATGATAATTTTGGAATTTACATGCCCTTAGTGATTACTACGAGATAATTACGTGCAACGCACGTATATAAAAACTAGTATATATATATATTATACTCTCACCGGCTATTTTTAGTTGGGATTTTTTCTTACCTATACCATATATGAAACCTTATTACAAAAAATGTGCATCATTCCTAAATTACCCGCCCAGTCCACATTATTTCTACAGTTTTTGTACCAATCATTAAAAGCTAATTAATAGCAGCTGTATCTTCCTATTTTTTGCGAGCTAAATTTTAGGAGCAGAATATTCTGAACAGATTCGGCGTGAATAAGATCATATCATATCACGAAAATCGCTCATCTTCAATTTATAAACAAATTCTGTTCGTCGAAATCAAAATATCAGTTCGTCCCTACAAATCTAACTATCAGTTCATCGAAATCAGAAACTTAATTCCAAGTTGTAGAAATCAGTTCTGCAAATCTCAGTTTGTCGACTTTTTTCATCAATCCATAATCAAAAGTTCAAGTCAAACCGTAGAAATCAATTTTGCGATTCTCTGTTATTCGTTTTTTTTTTCTGAATCCAAAAAATCAAAAAAACGACAAAATATTGAACAATAACTCTGCAACGACAAGCAATCATGTCCAAAATCCCAATCACGCTACATTTTAATGGAAATTGGGATAGCTGTGGCAGCCTCTCCCGTCGTAGAGGAATATCAAAGTGAGATTGTAGATAATTTGTAGACAAATTGTAGTTAATTTGTAGATTGTAGATAATTTGTAGATACGTTGTAGATAAACTATTTTATGATTATAAATATTTTTATTGCTGTTTGTTATGTAATTCTAGGTGAGGGCTTCAACAGATCATATCCATACTGTGATAGATGGTGTGAAGCAGTACATGAATCCTACATTATAACTACTATTAACTACAAAAACTCTACAATTATGTATAAAATCAGCTCTACAATTTAAACAAATTTACCTACAGTTTACCTACAGTGAATGTACAAATTACCTACAGTTTAAGTATCTAATATAAAAATAACTACAATTTACCTACAGTTACAGGGCAAACAGGCAACGCATCATCCACAATCATGTCTACATTATATCTACATTTTAGACTACAATTGATCTTGTAATGTTCTACATAAACTACAAACTAACTACAATTACACTACAAACAGTAAAATACAGCAATAAAACTATTCTGTCCATAAAATATCTACAACAACAAAAGGCAGAACATCACAATTACCAGTATCCATTATCACTCAAACCACAATTATTTTATTTATAAACTTACTGTAATCTTGTCGTTTATGGCAATGAAAATAATAGAAATTGGTTAAACATGCTCAAATCCTCCACAACCTTTTCACTGGGTATGGGTAAAAGAACGTGGGTACGGGGCTGAGGGATTCGGAGAGAGAAAGTAAGGGAGGAGTGGAGATACTGGGCGGGTAACGGAAACCCTTTAATTAAGGAGTAAAAAAATATCTCATTAATTATACCCTTAATTAGTTATGGTATAGAAATGGTAATTTGGTATACTAAGTGTAATTAAGTCAAACCTTAAACATTGAGGATAAAAAGATTTCGTATGTGATATAAAAATGTAAAAATTCCTCTTTAGTTTAAGTGGTTAGATGAGCGGCTATTTGGGTTAATTCTTCTAAAACAATAATATAACAAAGAATTGGATCAAACATAAGCCCATAACATAAGGCCCAGCCTGTGAAAAGGTACATCTGGAATGATCAGAGCGAAATTAAGGAGGCAAAACAATGGCGGCGCGGCAAAAGTGACCGCGTGAAGTGTGAAAATTTTCGCTTGAAAACGTTTTCAGCACACAACATAAAGTGCACTGCACCACTCGCACCCTGATTTGAAGGACCAAACTGCACCCTACTCACGCCGACCGACGACACCCATATGTTATCGGCTTAGAGAGAAAGCCTCGGGAACGCCAATTTCTACAGCCATTCTTCCTACTTTTCATACTCTCCTCCACTCAACTCATTCACTCACTTTTCCCAAAACAAAATTACACCCTCAGTTTGAAGCCCTAGTTCCTACACTCTCGATTCAAAGTCTGTCTTCGTCTCTCTCGATTTCTTTCCGTGGAAAAAAAAAAACTAAGGTAATCTTTAATTCCCTTATCCTTGTAAACATCGTTTGGGTAAATGTGGGTAGAAACAAGAAAAATGGAAATTTGGGACATTTTCCACATTACACTAAATTCATGGATTTTGCACTAGATTCTTTATTCTACTGTTGGTTAGTGTTTTCTTTTTCCTTTTCCCGTACCTTTAGTTTCGCTTTTCGTATGCTTTAACATATTACTAAAGCTAAAATTATGCAGATGAGCTTAAATTGTTCGGGTTACTTGAATTGGCTGCTGGATATTGTATAGTTGCTACTCAAGCTTCTGTCTGTTTCTTTGTTATAAATTACTAGTTTCTAAAGACAAGCTTTTGACGGATAGGCAAGAAAGTTATTTTTTAAATTTAAAAAGGAAGATTGTTTTGGTAAAGGTGGTGCTTGTGACAGCTTGTGTTCACGTAGACTATTCTATTTTGGTAGAGGAGATAAGTGAATAAGGTATTTATGTAACACTCAAATCTAGAGGTCAAGTATGATATGAATTATTCTCAAACTAAATACCAGAAAAGTGAAGGAACCAAGATTTAGCTTCCTTTTCCATTCAAGTAAATGTAATTTAGTTGGAGATATGCATACATTTATTAAGTAGAAATCATGATCCTCTTTTCATTGTATGAACGTGTAATTGATGTTAAATTTTATTCTTATTCTGTCCTTGATGTCTTATTTTGACTTTACATGATGATTACCACTAATGCTAGGCAAGTGTATATATTACATAATCCAAAGGAGGAAGTTATTGGAAGTAATTTCTACTAAAAAAGAAATCAAGTTTATTATAAAGAGTATAGTGCCACCTTTCTAGCATTTGCTTTAATGTTATATCGAGTTTTAGTTTTATTTAGGAAAGTGGACATTATTTTGGACAAACAGATGAGGAAAGTATGCTTTGGTAGTGACCTAAGATCAAGTTATTCATTTGCTCGAGCTGTTCATTGTGAATTAGCCATTTATATCAACCTGAAAAACTTCCTTATCTCAATATTTCGCCTGTCATTGTCTTTTTATTTCTTCCAGAAACTTATAGATTTATAGGCCAGTGTACTCATCTACTCCGCCAAAAGAAAATTGAAATTTAATGTGGTTTGTGCTCGATTTTTAATATACATTTGAAACAAATTTTCTCATAATGAGGTCAACCTCACAAATTTTACTTACCTAGGTCCGCTAGCTCCTTTTGTGGTCTTGTGTCAGAAGTAAACTAAGTTAAGCCACTCTACCAAAATACTTTTTATTGATTGAGCTTTCTGGAAAATGTTATTGTCTTCTTTCCTCGGTATTTAATGCTGCACCCCAATGCTATCAAGAAGAAGGAACACCACTCACCGTGTCTTTTTGTGTCCATGGCTGAATGGTTAAAGCTCCCAACCTAGTAAAGGGGCAAGTTGTGGGTTCGATTCTTGCTGGACGGGCTGAGAGTAGTGCCCGCTCCCTTGCACTTGAGGAGCTGGATGGTTGCTTCTCTCTTTGGGACTTTCCTTCTTTTTTTTTAACCTTAAAACAAAGGGCTTAAAATACATTTTTCTACCTAACCAAAACCTCCTCCCCCAATTATTGTTAATGCAATATTTACGGCTTGCACAAAGAGATGTCACTATATATTACTCATAGTTGAGATTCTAGATTCGTCCAAAAGGAAAAATGAATAGGCTAAGGGCTGTACTTTAATGATCCCTAACCACATTGATATTCACGAGTTCTAGTCTTTAGATAGGTAAATTATAAGTTACACCATTACCAATTCCAGGGACATGTAGTAACATAGCATGTGGACTAATGTATTTGGACAATTTTTCTTGGCCCCCACTACTTGAAAGCAATGAAGGTGCCTAGAGCTGGTGCTATTTATTTCTGTTTCATATCCTTACTACTCGATGGGATCAATTAGCATCTCTTGCCTCTTTTGTACAGTTGCATTTATGAAGTCTAGCAATACAAAAGTAAATATAAGTAATTAATAGTTCTTTTGTATCATGTGCCTGGTGATGAAAACATTAGAGAAAATGCCAGCAATGAAGTGTCTTGTCTTTTAACTGATTTCATATCAAACATTAATTCTCATTATTTTAAGCGCACAGTTGATGAGCTTTTCTATTCTTTATCTCCTGTGTTTGTAAGTTTTTGAATGCAATTAAGTGTAAGCTTTTTCAAAAAAAGCGCAACTACGATCTGATATTTATGTGCTCATGCCTTTTATTTTGGGGTCGCAGAAGCAATATTGGATTTTTCAATTTGGAGTGTAAGAAATTCAGCGCCACGGCATTGTCTTTCTGAGAATTGAGAGAATGGATTGCTCGTGATCTTGCATTGAATATATTCATCACTGCAGTAACTTAGAACTTGAGCACAGAGGTCATTCAGACTAAAATGCAGCGCATAAACTAGTGGCAGCAGGGATTGTAGGATATAAATGTAGGATAACTGTCTCCTGAAGACATTTTTGGTATTGCCAAGCAGAAAGAGATGAGAACACAGCTAGAAGATCAAACTGAGATGTCGACTCTTGGAAACACAGCAGTGTCACCTGGAAAGGTGGCAAGAACAACTGCTAGGAGCCATAACACAGCATCAGCAGGTAAAATGTCTGAAAATCCTGGTGTTGAACAATTGGGAGATGCATGTGGAAATGCTGGTCAAAACCTTAACTTATCAGAATGTCAAGAGAAAACACCTGGTCAACCTAGAAAGAGAAAATCTACTTCAGGAACCCCTATCAGCAGTACTAGACTTCTGCGCTCGAAGTCAAAGGAGAAATCTGGAGCTTCTGAGGCGAATAATACTGTAGTAACTCATGAAGCTAATGAAGAAAAGAAAAGAAAACGGAGAAAGAAAAAGCATAGCAAGCATATAGCTGTGAATGAATTCACAAGCATAAGGGGCCATCTGAGGTACTTATTACAAAGAATAAAATATGAGCAGACATTGATTGAAGCTTACTCTGGTGAAGGCTGGAAAGGACAGAGGTTTGTTAAATTGTATTAGAATCGTTGTGTAGTAAAATGTGTGATACCTTGTTATATTTTTGTTATACACAGTTTGTCAGATTTCCAAATACTTGACCCTCTCATAGCTGCTTGTTACTCTACAGCAATATTTTCATATTTGTGAAGTTCGAACAGTATGCAAGATCGATATTTATGAAAGAAAGACGTACTACTAGTGTAGTTCTTTGAAACTAGAGATGTTACTCCAAAAAAATCCTAGATTAGTGCTTGTATATGGGGCTTCCCTGGTATAAATTAAATTACTTATCTTACCAGAAATGAAAAAAATCCTAGGTTAATTTCGTTTAAATGATGGCAGCTTGAGCTTCCAGGTGCACACCACTAAAGATATGTTGTGAAGTAGCATTGTGGGCCTTGTACAATCTCAAAGTATGTTGCAGGATATCAGTTCTTTTTCTTTGTTGGCAATATTGCATAATCATTCTGTTGATTTTTGTTTTTGAAGTATTCTGCGAGGTACAGACTTATTGTAAAAGAAAATAGTTAGTCATACACGAGAGGTACTTTGGAGGTGCTGATGTGTTGCATTATCAGTGTTGCTTTAATATGATGGTCTAATTATTTGCTCTTTACTAGGAGGAAGCAGGTGTAAGCAAACTAACCCTGTAGACTTGTTGTATTGTGCTTTACTGACATCTGCCATAGACAGAGGCAATGGGTTTAGCAGCAGTCAGTTGCTATTGCCCCAATAAGCTGATTCTAGTTTATCGTGTCATGTCACATTGCTAAGGCAGGGAGAATGTGTGTTATATGCCTAGTGCATTATTATTTTTGTAGTTATCTGCTGTTTCAAATGGTGCTTCACCTTCACCGTTTACTGCAGCTACCAGCTTAAGTGCTTAACCTAGCCTAACATTATCTGGCCTGTCGAAAAGATAATGGAATAGAAATTATATTATCTCTAGTATTTGTTATTACTTGCTTAGCTCACTTATGCAGTATTTTCCTGTTTATTTTAAAAATTTGAGAATATACTTTGCCGAATCATTATTGAGTTTTACGGTGTTGATAATCTTGCAGCTTAGAAAAGATAAAGCTGGAGAAGGAGCTAGAACGAGCCAAGGCTCATATTTTTCGTTACAAATTGAAAATTAGAGATTTGTTCCAACGCGTTGATACTTTACTCACTCAAGGGAGACTTCCAGAATCTTTATTTGACAATGAAGGGGAGATTGACAGTGAAGATGTAGGATATACTTGTTGACTGCTGTTCGTTTAGATGTGTTCACAGTTTTATGATGAGATAATTGGATAACTCAGGCATCTTTATTCTTCTGCAGATATTCTGTGCAAAGTGTGGCGCTAAGGATCTGCCAGCTGATAATGATATTATTCTCTGTGATGGCGCTTGTGAACGTGGATTTCACCAGTTGTGCTTGGAACCACCTCTGTTAAAAGAAGACAGTAATATTCAATTATCCTGTTGATAGTTGTTCTGATAGCTTTTGTTTTCTCAAGTCTCGAATAACTTCTTTACACTCTTGCTATGCTTGCAGTTCCACCTGATGATGAAGGCTGGCTTTGTCCTGGCTGTGATTGCAAAGTTGACTGCATTGACTTGCTTAATGATCTTCAAGGAACAAATCTTTCCATCACTGACAGCTGGGAGGTTTTGTCTTGATCATTCTTTCCGGATAATCAGCAGTTAGTTTCTTTTATAATTGTTATGATCTTAAATGTTGTTTCTAAGTGTCTTCTTATAACATGTGTAGAAAGTATATCCTAAGGAAGCTGCTGCTGCTGCATCCGGGGAAAAGCTGGATGATATTTCTGGACTTCCATCGGATGACTCGGAAGATGATGATTACAACCCTGAAAATCCAGATGTAGAAAAGAATGATTCGGGAGATGAATCCAGTTCTGATGAATCTGATTTTTTCTCTGCATCTGAAGATTTGGAAGAAGTCCCTCCTAAAGACGATGAGCTCTTGGGGCTTCCTTCTGAAGACTCAGAAGATGACGACTATACTCCTGATGATCCAGATAAGGATGAGCCGGTTAAGACAGAAAGTTCAAGTTCTGACTTTACTTCTGATTCTGAGGATTTAGGTTTGATAGTTGATACTAATAGGCTGCCAGGTGATGAGCTAGGGGTTTCCAGTTCAGTAGATAACAGTAAGCACAGCTCGGCTTCCCAAGAGGAAAAACCTAAAGGTGGCCGAGCTAAAAGAAATTCGTTGAACGATGAGTTGTCCGATCTTATGCAGTCTCATAGCCCTCTTGTCTCTTGCAAAAGGCACATAGAGAGGTTGGACTACAAAAAGCTGCATGATGTAAGCCTTTCTACTATATTATTATTCCATTTTTTTAATTCTATGTGTCACTATGTTCGTATAATTATCCACATGTATGCTGTTTAATTGTCTACTATTTGTGTATATAACTATAGCAGTACCTTTCAACCCTCTTGACATGGTCTTGCCTTGGTCTGTCTCTTCTGTTGTGGATTAGGAGTATGAAATTTACTGACGTACTCCATGTAGAATTTCCGTAAGAAAACATGGAGTCTTTAGTAGTAACGATCATACCATTTTTTCTTGAGCGTATTCAAAATGATACTCCTGGTCTTTTTAGCACAAAAATTCAATTGCTGTTTGACTTTTCTCTAGATGCAAATCCTCGAGCTGTCATTCATATTAACGTAATTTTCTAGTTTTGTTCAATGATTTCATCAGTATAAAATTGGTTGTGAGAGCTTATTCTCTCTAGGACAAGGATTGAAGAAAAAATGGGAACACAAACACAATACCCTTTTGAGTTGGGACAAACATTTAATCTGTTTGTGATTGGTTATTATGATCACTTTCAACCTGAGATATGTTATGGTTAAAATTTTAAAATATCAGATTGTACGTGGCATATATACAAGAACTGGGTCACTGAATTTTACTACAAAAAGTTCAGAGTAAAAACATGTGGAGCGCATGCCCGTTTTGGCTGACTCGTAAGCTCTTATATAAAAGAAAATCAAATTGAGTTCTAACATCTGTGTCGGCCTTTAGCCTTATAATAGGTGCTTAAATTGTACAAGCAGTCAAGCACTTGTCATTATAGTGGAGAACTGTTGTTAGTCTTTCAAGTTTCCTCTCTCAAAGAGGTGCATGACTGAGCACCCAAGGGTGGGCTTAGTCGTCAATGAAGTGGGTGAGAACCATGAGGTCTCACGTTCAAATCCCAGCGGAGAAAAAAATACACTAGGTGATTTCTTCCCATCTATCCAAGCCTTGTACCTGTTGTTGGTGGGAGGTGGAATGTATCTCGTGGAATTAGTCGAGGTGCGCACAAGCTGGCCCGGACGCCACGGTTATCAAAAAAAAAGAGGTGCATGATTGATGTTTAGGTTGCTGAGGTATCGTTTTCACCAAATCCAGTAGCCAACCTTTGATGTTTTCTCTTGTTTGTTATACTTTATATAAAGGTCATCTCTTGGCAAGAAAGCGAATGACATTTATCTCCCAAAATGCGGCTTGTAACTTTCATATGATGTGGTTCAGCTGGTGGAATGGACAATTACTCTGATACAACCAAGTTGAAATGTCGAGCTTGCAAATTATCTTGGAAACTAAAATGTGAAGGCTTAACTGCTAAAGGGAAGATGGGGGAAATCGCTTATTTGCGATGGGACATTAGTTTTCTTTATTGTATAACATAAACTAAGATCTATTATACCGGAAAAAATAATGATTTATTTCATTGAAATGGTATGTCTCTGCATGTCATATTTCATTGATCATATATGGGCTTGTGTTCTTCAATGTGACTCCTTATCCTTTATCTTCCACCTGCTTGGATTGATTGCTCAGATTCATCTTTGTGTGAAGGAAACATATGGAAATGAATCTTCCGATTCTAGTGATGAAGATTTTGAGGGTGATCCTTTACCCAAGGTGAGAGAGATCAGAAGTGCCAAAGCTGCAATGACTTCTCCTAATTCGACTCCAGCAGATACCAAGTATCAAAGTGGGAAGAAGAAAGTGAGTAGACATACCGATAGGGGTCTCTGCAAGAAACTCAAAATTGGAGGCATGGACACCTCTGAACCTCATTCAAGTGGTAAAAAGAAAACATACGGGGAAGGTGCCATCAAGGTATTGAGGGCTTTACTCTGATTCCAACTTTTTACATGTCTGATCAGTGTTTATAGGTCCAAGGACATCTTACTTTCCATGAAATTAAAAACAATTTCTATTGAAGGTAGAAGGTCCTTTTTATGTCATCCTTGAACAAGTTGTATAAAATGGATATCATAAACTAACTTTATTAGCTATTAAGCAGAACTTGTTTACTCTCTAATTGCCTCCAAAAAAGAAAGTAGTAATACTTTTTTGTACTTGTGCTTGCCTAATATGGTAATGCCCTCTGAAAGAAAGTATCTTTAAAAAGTTGTATGGATGTGTGATTTTTTGTTTTGTTTTGAATATCATGGTTTTTTGAATTTGCTTGAAGAGACAACTTGATTAGTTTTAGAATGAGTTGTGACTGAATCCTAGTTTCTGATTTAGAGCAATTGATCGACTTATTTCTTTACTTTACTAACAAAATATTCTTTGTTAGTTTTCATGCATTTCCCCACTTCAGCTTAATGTTTTCTTTTGGGGTTTCAGAGGCTCTATGAATCCTTCAAGGAAAATCAGTATCCTGACCGTGACGCAAAGGAGAAGTTGGGTAAAGAGTTAGGCCTAACAGCTCACCAGGTTTTATGAGTTCTCCCTGGCATATGTTAATTTCAGCTTTGTCCGCTTTTTTGCCACTTGTATCTTCGATTTTGCTTCGCTGCTGCCCTCTTTTTCCTTAGTTTCTTTTTGTCAAATATGCAGGTCAGTAAATGGTTTGAAAATGCTCGTCATTGCCATCGTCATTCTTCTCGCTGGGACACAATTATGAGTCAAAAAGTGTCGAAAGAATCTCCTTCCTCACCAAATATTATGGGAGAACCACTTGGAACTGAATCTATAAGCACCATAAACAATGTTTTGTGCAATGGGGTTGGAAAAATGGAACCACCAAAGCAATGCCTTAACGGAGAAAAATGTCATGCAATAGATAAGAGTGAGGGAGATTTATTGATACAGGAGGCCAGTGGGAAAAAATCTAGAAAACCAAAAGCAAAAAATGATACCACAGATCGAGGATTGGATGACACTCCGACCAATAAGACTTCTAAGAAGCAGAACACACAGATTAATAGCCCGAATTCTCAGAATGTCCGTAGAAGTAGCAGGTTGCAAAAACAAGGCTGAGTCATGAAAGTGCTGAGTTCTGGAACAAACAAATACTTTGAGTGGAATATAAATCAACCTGGAAAGCTTTTTGATCTATGTGAATGATTAAGATTGAAACATTGGCCAGACGACGGGTCTGACACTTAAATACACATGCGGGGTTTTGGGGGTCACAGATATATGGAGGCCTCCCGTCTATCCAACAGCATTCTGGAGTCTAGGTAAGTAGCAGAATTTGTACTTAGTAGTGAGGAAAGCTGGATGTAGCAGTCGAATTTCACCATCCATATTGGATGTAGCAGGACTTCTGGAGCTGTGCTATTTAAATTTTGATAACAGTTTACATTATGTCTAAATCGTATGGTAGACATTGTCTGATGTTGCTATGTTGTACGTATTGCATATTAAACTATTTCTTTCTTTTTATTTATTTGGCTTTCGTGTCCTTCTGTTGTAACTGCTACAGTAAAGATGAACCTATTTCAGTTGGATTGCTGCTCAACCTGTCTGAAGCTTTTAATGCGACAGTATCATTTGTTAAGAGGCGAATTTCACCTCGTGTAGAGAATATGAGATAGTATGGAACTTTTCACCTCTTATTTTCGACACGAGATGTAGTTGTGACAGAATATCCCTCCGAGGGTGTGGAGTAATTTGGCTTTGTTTCTGGAATCCAAAAGTGCTTATTTTTATTAAAAGAGTATTTTTTGGGAGAGGAAAGGTTTGAGGGGGTTTTTTTACCGAGAGTTTATATTTTCCAGACCATTTCTTCTTAACTGTATTCGTTTATTTCTCAGCTATAAACACAAAATTCTTCTCCTCTAGACTTTATTTAATTTCTTTTTCAATATTGTTATATGTTGATTTCTAAAGAACAAAAAGAATACTCCCAAGGAGATTGGAGAATCGTGGCTTGAATTGTAATTTACATGAACAAATTATTTTCCTAGCGAGGAAGACACGCTTAGAAAGATAATCATTTAAGTTCCAATTTTGTCATTCTATTTAAAATCATTTCTAAAAATGCTTAATGTATATTGTTACTTGTTGAATTACTAATTAAATGTTCTTTTATCAGATAATGTGCACTGTTTAAGTTATGTGGCTAGAATGTCCTACTTCTTACTTTTCATACCTTCGTGTAATCTACTATAAGTCTTGGGGTACATTTTGTAATAATGATAACTTTAAGTTTTATTTAGCAAAATGGTATTCTTAGGATAGCTATTAAGTTTTCCTAATTGTGTTTTAGATTGGGTTTGAACAAGAGAACTACCTTTAGAAATATTTGCGTTAGTTTATGGTACTTTTGGTCCTCCAATTATTAGTAAATTCTAATTTTGATAGTTGCGATGTAACCTTCAATTAATTGTAATGTACTTTTGATCTTAATGCTTGTGAATTTTACAAATTTAATGGATTATTAAGTATTAAACTATCTAAATACCCATGTGTTGTGATGAATTCGTACCGTCGCTTTATAATTTGAGGACAATTAGTTCTAAAAATAGCCTATATATACATTATTTCCTATATAAAGGGTTAGGGACCAACCACAAATGTATTAATTACAGGTTAAATGTACTTGGCCAAATACTATAAGGACCTAAACCAGAATTCATCAATATCCGGGGACCAAAAGTGCTATTATGCATTTGTGAAAACTAGTTTGACTTCTTTGTTAGTATTTCATAAATATAGACATCCGCAATTTGTCATTTTTGGAGAAATTGCTAAAAGCTTTTCTAATTTAATAAAAACTCGTCGAACACTACCGCATCCCGGGAATTGAATTTTTTTTGAGTTGGTAGATCGGAAAATGGAGTGGGAAAGTGATGAGAGAGAGTTAAAGGCGGCGGGAGCTGAGCTTCTGCCGGAGGGACGGAGGGGACTCCGAATTCACGGCTGGGAGATTGAGTCTCGGAAGCGTTCCATTCTCACTTCTCTTCAGCTTCAACAGTAATCCATTTTCCCTTTCAATTTGTGCAAAATCCAATTAAGCACTTATTTTGTTTTGTTGAATGCAACTTGTTTCTCTTCATGTATAATAAGCAATTCCAGCTAGATTATCTAATATATTTCTTGCTTAAACTAAGATGATTTCTGCCATCAATGTAGGAATTTTGGGCGTTTTTCATTTTACATACTTCGGTATACGTAAATCATGTGTTTAGAGTTGATTTTTTCTTTTATTAGCTTTGAAATATGCGGATTCAAGTGCTCCTTTCATTCCCCCAAGCTGTCTTAGTTCTATATGAACAATTACTTACAGACTTTTTAGTTAAATATCAGGCTTTTGTCATGCCCCTAACCCACACATCACAAGCTGTGCTTTGTTTGGTCGACCAAAGCCCCGGGGGGCATAAACTTTTTACAATTTTGCGTATAATAGTTCATTATCCTCTTCTTGTCAAGCACCTCTCTCTTCAATGTCTTGAAGGGGTCTAATTCCTCCCTAAATGGCTTGATATGCATACAGATGGGAAGAGGAACTCCAGACCTCTCACTTGCCAGAGATGGTATTTGGGGACAATTCTTTGGTGCTTAAACATGTGAATACTGGCACAAAAATTCACTTTAACGCATTCGATGCTCTAGTTGGTTGGAAGCGCGAAGCATTACCACCTGTTGAAGTTCCAGCAGCTGAACAATGGAAATTCAGAAGGTATTATTAGTTTTCCAATTAATTGCAGCTGATGAAAGAAAAGAATATGCTAATATTTCTGAATATATTAGAGGAACATCTTTTAGGAGGTTCACAAAAACCCTGAAATAGCTGTAAACATGCACTTCCTTTCGGGTGGTTAGAATTGCCTAAAGAACTCATTCAGCCTATAGTGCACCGGGAGTGATATCAGTTTATTTTTTTTTGTGGGGGTGGGGGTGGGGGGTGAGCAAGAAGACAGTGAGGGATTAGCAGTAGCGAAACCGAAAATTTTGATGTTTAAATTGAGGACTACAAGAGTGTGCATTCTATATGTCAAATCCTACTTATTATATCATGTATTCTGGATCCTCTTTTAGTTAACCTCCCTTTGTTCATCTCTGTTACTTTTCTTGGGGAGGGATACCTTGCATTTCAGCGGTTTATGAAAGCTCCTTCACTCATCTTATGTTTGGTAAAAGTTGTATGTGTAATTGAAAAAGAAAGATAGGAAAGCAGAGAAGACATGGTGCACCTAGAAGAATAAGTGAGCATTGCCATTGCCCTATTGAGATCCACACTCTTAGACTTGTGCTTTTTCTAGGCTAGTACTATTGTTGGAATGTGGCCATCTCATCTAAAAGCTTTTTAAACTTTAGGAGAGAGCACTATTGCATGTCTAATCTCTTACAATTGGATTACAGAACTAATTGCATGGATGATGATGATCTGTTTACTTAGCTGCTGGCTTAAAAGAATGTTGAGGACATTGAATGATTCTGATACTGGACTTAGACAACTAGAACTCATATGGTTTAAAGCAGATCATGCCTTTTGCTTGGTGTTCATTTCCTTCTTTTCCCTTCAAAAATAGCTTTGATATCTATGGTGAAAGTGGGCCGACAGAAGGCTTTCTTCATTGCCCTTCTCTTTCTCACCCCCCCCCCCCTCTCTCTCATTTATTTGTGTGTGTGCCTGCAGTAAACCTTTGCAACAGGTGGTGCTTGACTATGACTATACCTTCACGACACCTTACAGTGGAAGTGCAACTTTCGATACGAATGCCGAGGTTTGAATCTCTTATCATTGGAGTAATACTGATTAAGGTTTGAGGACGTTTTATTATTCATTCGCACTTTCTAAATTGTGTTAAAGCTAATAGGACAGCTGGTTTAATGCTTGCCACCGTGGTTGCACTGTTTCATCAGTTATTTTGTCCTTATCCTCCAGTCGTTGACTCGAATGTTGTATTTTTGAGTTACACTTGAGCAATAATCGCTGATTACTTGGAAATTTAATTCATTTGAATGGGACTTTTTATTTATATTCTTTCTTCTATCTTTTCCTTTAGTTATTGCTCCTTCACTGCCGAGCTCAAAGTTATTTGAACTATTCTTGTTGCTTTTGTATAATTAGCGTGTAAGAGGTTTATCAAATGAAAGCAGCTGTAGTCTTCAATGGGAGGATTGCATGGAGAAAATTGATTTGGTTGCACTGGCATCAAAAGAACCTATTCTCTTTTATGATGAGGTTAGTGACTCAGAACGTGATGATTTCTGGGTCATGTAACTGAGTAATGTTATCCATTTTCTACTTGTGTTGCTGTTACCTTCTAGCACCCAAGTTTATTTCATTATTTCATTCAACAGATCATCTTGTATGAGGATGAACTTGCTGATAATGGAATCTCACTTTTGACTGTTAAAGTGGTAATGTTGTTTCTGGCTTTTATTTAGTCATATCAATATGGCTGACTTCCAATTCACTGAATGACTTCTGTGTATTTCTAGAGAGTCATGCCAAGTGGTTGGTTCCTATTGCTGCGTTTTTGGGTGAGTGGCTCTGTTGCAAATTCAACATAAGCAATTATTACCATGGTTCCTGAGGAATCTGTTCTTTGCACCCGAGTTATTGTTTGCTTATCTCTTTACTGATGGTTGGATGCATTACACAGCTTAGAGTTGATGGAGTGCTTATGAGGCTAAGAGACACTCGTTTACATTGTTTATTTGGAGAGCATATGAAATCAGTTATTCTTCGAGAAAGCTGCTGGAGAGAAGCCACATTTCAAGCATTGTCTTCTGTGAGTGAAATATTATCTCTATCTGCATTGTCTGTCACTACTGGTGCCTCCCTAAATTGTTCTATAGACATTATAGGTTGTTTGGCATAATAGAGACCCGTTTTATCGACTGTTTGAGTAGGCAATCTCAGTGTTCCTTTACCTTTGTACTTTTAGGGAGAAATCATTCATCCACTCCTTGTCTAGGCTGATTGACATGTTTCACAATCCCTAAGTGGTTGTTGATGCAGCACTGGTCCAGGATACTCTGGTGCAGAAATTAGTTATACATGAGGCAGAATAGTTGGCAGGCTTCAAGGAGGATTTTCATTAAGAATTGATTAGGACTTAGGAATAAGATTGCTTGTGTAGTGATTAGTGAGATGAAGAAACAAGATCCAACTGCAGTGAGAAGAAATGCAGGAAACAAAGAAGAGAAGAGCAAGTGGGAGAAAAGGGGTGGGAAGGTGGACGGTCCTCTTTACCCTAATAAGGGTAGAAGCTATCTGCACATACCACATTTTCAAATCATAATCTTCTTCATAAGCAGACCATTATGACTCATGTTTCTGTTACACCTAATAATAATAAGCAGCATAAAGTCTTAGAGATCAAAATCTCTTGTTGCCTTTGAAAATCAGGGGACTAAGTTTTAACTCGACATTTTAGAGATAATACTTGATTTTACAACGACTTAATTATACTTCAAGAAAGGGGCCTAATCTCTATAATAAATGCCCTATTGTGCAAGTGCACACAGGGAAAAGTTAAAAGATAGAGAAGTCTTAAGGAGAAGTAGTTGGGCTCCCTTATACCAAAATTTCAAAATATCCTTACAATTGAATGTCAAAGTCCTTGAAACTAATGTCAGCACTATTTGCATGGCATATTACACACACTACTGTCCGTATATGGGCTTTAATTGTTCCATGTAAAAGTGCTAGGGATGATGTGATTGTCTTAGTCCTCTTTGAAATATATTCAGCCTCAGTTGTATTGTTGGTAAGAATTTTGAGAGAGTTCAGTTTAGTTGGTCCAACTAAGTGACAGAGATCACTCTTCTTGTATACCTGTTTTCAGAATATTCATTACCTTAGACGTGCACTTTGTATCTAGTTCTGTCACTAATCTTCTTAATTTCTGCAGAAAGGATATCCTTCTGATTGTGCTGCGTATAGTGATCCAAGCACTATTAGTGAAAGGCTTCCCATCATAATGCAGAAGACTCAAAAGCTCAGTATCGAAATACCATGTAAGCAATAGGTGTGATCAACATTGTTGTATCAGGTTCTTCATTCTATGTTCCTATTAGTTGTGGAATTTGGTGAACGATAATTAATCTTCAAGGAGATTATGGAATTATTTGACCTTATGAATATCGCCACTATTTGAGTGCCTGCATCCTGTCATTCTTCTTCTTCCGACTTTCGATTTTCTTCCCCAGGCAAGTGTTGTCTAGATACGAGGAGAGAACACACTGCATCAAGACATGCAAAGACCACAAAAACATGGTTGGTGCCTTGAATGAATGGAAGAGTGGAATGGCACAATAATGACTAATTGACTATTACATTGGAGACTTTAAAAAGAATGAAAAGGATCTATGAGTGATAAAAGTACTAGGTAATTTCTTCTTATCTGCCTAAGCCTTGGTGAGCGGAGTTATCTGCTACCTGTACTGGTGGGAGGTAGAAGATACCAAGTGGAATCGTAGAGGTATGCGAAAGCTGTCCTTGACACCATCATTACCCAATAAAAAGGGCTCTATGAGCGATAAACTTTTGGACATTCTGCACCTTCACACCTGAACTTCTTGTGCAACCATTTAACTTTCGAACTCCCAAAATGATGCATCTATGAACTTTTCCTCATATATCCAACAGATATGTCTATCGGCACCTCATCAGGGCTTAAGCATTGAAACTTTTGTGGCTCTTGGGGAGGATGTTGCTGTTGGTGTTTTGGTTGCATTAGAAGAGTTGTGCTGATCAAAAATAAAAAATGAAAGCACGTCGTATGCTTTTCGTGAAACGTCCTCCGTTGATATAAGATCTGGTTGAGTAAACAAATCTGTTGTTCGTGAACTTTTTGGCTGAGGAACAAATGTCATTTGGGAACTTACTGATGAAGGACTTAGTGAACCAACGACACAGAACCCATTTATGTGATGACAATGGTCAACTTATGGTCAACATTATTGCAGAAGTAAAATAATTAAATACAAAAGTTTGTGCTTTTAGATAAGACGGTTCATACAATTCAATATGATCCTAGAGCAGATAGAGGTTCTGAGTTCGAATTTTACCGCCTTATTTGGTGTGATTACAACAACAACAATAACAAACCCAGTATTTTTCCACAAGTGGGGTCTGGGGAGGGTAAGATGTACGCAGCCTTACCCCTACCCTTGGAAGAGCAGAGAGGCTGTTTCCGATAGACCTTCGACTAGAGAACGACTGAAAAAGAAAAGGAAATTGCAACAAGTAGGAATAACAGGAAGATGAAATAAGATCGAATCCAAGAATGCAGTCAAACTCTAGGTAGTAATAGAAAAAGAACGCCTTATTTAGTGTGATTGGCCAAAGAAAAAGAATCAAGGCTGCACGTGAGATGGCATGTTGCAAACCTAAGATAAATATATAAAAGTGGTGATGTTGAGTGCTTTAGTCCCAACCCAATTTCCCCCCGAAATTACTTTCTTAGAATTTGTGTGTAAAAAGTGCTCTATTAGTATGTATAACAGAGATTGCCTTCAACCTAAGTTGCTCCGACACGACAGTTTAGGTGCTGCACCCGTGTCGACACGACACTGGTGTGGGTGTGGGTATGGGATCCGTACCGAATCTGGTCAAACAATTTTGGGTACTTTGACCTCGACATACGGAAAAATTCGAAACGAGATACAATTTGATTCCCGAAATCAGAACCAAAACTAAGATAAATTTGAACAAAGTAGCATACCTTATCTAGGAAATCAATTATTTACCTGTCTACATCTTGAGAATAAAAAAGAAACCCACACTTTACAAGTATTACATAAGTGTTCTACAAATTTCTCAAGATTTAGAGATATTTTTATATTTTTAAATTATTTTTAGCCGGATTCCCGCACCCGTTTTACTACGATCCGTATCCCCGAATCTTAGAATTTACGTCTCGAAGGATCTGATCTTTAGATCCGCACCTGTGTCGGACACCCGCACCCGTGTCTGAACAACTTAGCTTTCCCATGCCAAAATCAACAGAAATCTAGGCCTACTTTATTCAGCACCAAAGTCAGCTGCCATTCTCTACAAAGTACTTATTAGGTTGGTGCGAAAGCATGTCGGCAACCACACTAACTGTTCAGGGCAGTATCCTAGTGCTATCAGATTCTCCAGAAATAGCAGACCTACTAGTCAAACTCTCAACTTTCAGATTGGCTAATACACAACAGATAGCAACATAAGATAATATCTCATTGTAACACCAAATGTTTGACCTATGTGACTCCACAACATACCTAGGAACCCACATTACCAGTTGGAGTTAAAATTTTTCAGATCCAATAGCAAGTAGAAGAAAGTATAAAATGATATCATTTAGATTTGTATTTCATGTGTGTGTGGCAGAAGTTTACAAATTCTAGGAGTGGTTCAATTGGTGGGATTCTACATTGCCGCTTCATGCAGTACTTTAAAATAAGTGTTGTAGCTGACTGCTGAGTGAAGGCGTTTTTGACTTTTGTTTGTTTGGCATGTGATGATGGAAAGACGTCCAACTTACCTTTGATATGTTGAAAGCAATAGAGGTGAAGGCCCACTCATTACTTTTCACAGTGTACTATGTCACAACTTAATCCTAAACACCATCCGCCACCATCTAAAATAACAAGAAGTAGGGAAGAAAAGGGAAAAGACTAGCTATCCTTTTCCTTCTCTTACTCTGGTCAAATATTTTTCTCAGTATGAGGACTCTTTCATAGCTTCCATCTGGCACTAATACCTCAGTGCTCCCTTTCACTCACTCTGTCCCTCTCATTCTCTCCATTTGCAAGTTTACCTCGTTAAAGTTCATTGATAAACCAATAGACAACTGTTGCTTCCTCTAAAAATCTAATCGGAATTTGTCTAATTTCTTGTAGCTTAAACATAATGCTTCTGGATTGATGGAGCTTAATACAAAAAAATTATAAATGCATAATTCAGTAACCTTCTGCCACTATTTGGGAGAGAGGATGTTAAAAAGTTGTTCTAGGTGCAGTAGGAATAAAAGCAACTGAAAAGTACATATTACATCTTAGGTATCATTCATCTGACAGGTTATAGCTGGAAGTCTTGACATTTAGGAGCACTGCTTCTCTAGGATCTTTTTTAATCTAAATCGGTGTTCGTAGATCATACAGGCAGTTCATGTACTTTTGATGAACCAAGCCGAAGCTGTTACAGGAGAGGATAGTAAATAGTTCCATTTGTGATGGATGTGTATAGTAATTACAGCTTGAGATTGAGATCAATCTTATTTGTATTTGAGGCCTGGTCTTCTGATTGTTGAGGATTCAGTCGGAAACTTCCTGGCCACTTCAAGCCAAATCTTTCATCTACTGGATTGGGACGCGATGTCATTTGAAAGCCTGCACTAGCCTCGCTGAACCTTCCCACTGTTGTACTTGCATCTCTGCCAGTTTTATGCACAAGTGAGTGGGGAATCATGCCAAGAGATCTGTACATGGGATTGTTGATAGGCAAAGACATCATTGTCATCATCCTCTGGGACTGATACTGTCTCACTGCTCCTCTTTCCCTCTTGTGAGCATTCTGATGGCCTCCCAGAGCCTGTGAACTGTAGAACTTCCTCATGCAGAAGTTACATGAAAAAATCTTACCTGGAGTAGGTCTTGTCTGTGACTCAGATTCTTTAGATGTTGAAGGTGAGTTTCTTCTTAAGCTCAAACTCAACCACTCTCCTTGATCAACTGTCGAAGATCCCCAGCTTCCATCCTCAGCACTTCTCATTCTGCTGGCTGTTGCAGTTATGTAGAAATCTTTTTTTCCCTCCCACAATTCCACGGAAGAGCAATTTGAAATTTGTAGACGTAGGAAGAGGCCTTATGGAGATACTGACCTAAAGGACTCTTAAAGGGCTAGAGATCAGAGAGAGGCAAGGAATAAAAATGAGATCATGCAGGAGGTTAAGGTGAGATTAGGTATTGAAATTTATCATCTCTTTTCACTGTCCCCACCTAGTGAGGCTTGGTGTTCCGGGGGACAATGCTTACGTCATGTTTCACTGCAGTCCCTGTCAACCCTGTGATTCCCGCTTCTTTTTTCTCTTTTATCTAATCAAATAATTCTGCCTTTAACAATTTCTCGTTGGAGTTAATCTAGACTGCCAATCACTATGATTCAATTTATCGTCTAATCATAATCCTACAGTTTGTTTTGTCTCCCGTGTTGCTTCTTCTAATGTGCACTGTGATATAGGATGTATTAGATTAAGCTAGTATTGCTTTTTTAGCTGTATGATAAGAATTTAGAAGCCACACGACTGAACTTTATGGGTTTGAGATCAGTTCAAAAGGCATAGATTCTTAACGGATCTGGCAGCCTGAGATTATAGCTTGTCCAATTCCGAAGAATTAGTTGGTTTTTCGATCAGCATATTTACCCGATAGCTCCGAGAATAAATTAAATGGAAGGATTCTCTCTATCAATTTTCCTGTTATTTTTGTTAGTGTTGGGGTAAAATTTTGTAGTTTGCGAAAAAATTCATATAAAGTAGGTGGGGAAGTATGGAACCCACCTGCAGAGAGTTGTTTCCCTTGTGAAAGAATGAGTGAATGAGAAGCTTTAGGAGCAGAATGTAGATGTAGGAGTGAGTGGTGGTAGAGTCATACTAAATTGAGTGTGGCTTGTTTCAATGTCTGATGGAGTGGTAGGGTCCAAAGATTTGGCAATAATAGTGATTAAAATAGGAAAGAGATGAGATAGCATCTTTGCCAACTTTGTTTAGTATTTTCTTCTAAACATGAGTATCTATGTGGGTGTCTTCATGTTGGGGTTTCTTTCCTGTCAGATAGTGGGCATTGTATATGAACAGTAGAAACCCCAGTTCACCATGAGATAAAGATACCCCCCCCCCTCCCTCTCTCTCTCTCTCTCTCTCTCTCTCTCTCAATAATTAAGGTGTTAGAATGAGTTGATAACAAAAAAAATTGAGTGAAAAGTATTTGTGCTGTTGAGTAACAGATAATAACTTTTGCAACATATGGCCACCACCATTATTTGAAATAAAAAGAAGCTTCTGCAACTGAAGCTAGAATTATCATTTGGTGACTGTCACTTGATGTCTTTCCTTTTATGGAGCATCGGATAATTGGTTGAGGTTCATGTAACGAAGTCTTCTACTGTCACTTAGGTTGAGGCAATAGTCAGTTCAATGTTGTCCTATTTTAAGATTGTCCGTATTCTAGACTTTGTAATAAGAGTTACAGTTTCCTACTTATTAGTCTGTTTCGTCATAAGTTCACCTCCAGAAAATGAAATGGAGTAGTAATTTTACATCCCAAATGTCTCAAGAAGTATGGCGGGTCACATTTTACACTTGTTAAATCCAAATCCCTCTTTCTTTATATGTTAGGTATGTTTTGTGGTTTGTCTATCTTTTCCTTTTTTTTTGATTACGATTGCACATTACCGCGAGTAATTTTACCCACTAAGACTATAGATAGATGAGAATAGATCATTTATTGTTTTTTTTTTGTCTCGGCTGGATTGGAGTCATGTTCTTTCCACGCCTTTATTTTGTTGACTGTTAGGCTACACTCATAGATGCTTGTGATTCATCCATTCTTTTGTTGAATCAAGGCTACACAAATATTTAGCCTATGTATTCCGGTATATGTACAACGAAGTAGTGGATTCCAACTTTCCAAGCTTCTCTCATGTGGTCCAAATTACCAGTTAGGTTTATTCCTTGGCTTAGGTACGAATAGGTTTGCTGACCTTATTTGAAGAATCAATGAGATAAGGCATAGTTGGAGGATAACGATGATGATGTGACTAGTCAATCCACCATATGTCCTTCTCTATATCTCAAAGAACTTTTTGCTCTGAACTATGGTTTTCGATTAGTTTCTCAAAAAGATGGGGAGAGTACTTTAGATATGGTAGATAGAGAGGAATCCCCAACTGAAGACATTAGGCGAATTTCTAGCAGAGTTTGATTTGGACCTTAGGCCAATTGGGAGCCAAAATGGTGCTTTTTCACTGGCAAAGGATTGAAATCAAGAGTAGGCGGTCTTATTGAGTCAAGTCTATTATTGGTCGGACGGAGAGGAGATAATGAAAACGATAGATGAACGTTTGATTGGTCGAATGTAGTTATATAACTTTGACATCTTTTTTCATTAAAGTTAGAGAAGTGCTAGGTCAACTATGGCAAAAATCAACAAAAACTTGATGAGGTGCATGGGACTTGGCATACTTTAGAGAAAGAAGGAATATCATATCATGGGTAGGCTGATAGGCATCATGAGGACCAACTTTAGAGGAAATGCCAAATTGCTTTTTTGTTCACTCAACTTTCTCTTTAGAGAAGAAATATATCTTTTTCGACCGTTCTTTGTCATGAGGGGTTACACAATCACCAAATAGATCTGAGGAAATAATTTCGGGTGAATGCAACTAGTAGTAATTAGCCCCGTGAGCACAAATTCTTATCCAGTATTTACAAGTACTCAATTTCTATATGTGCAAGCACACTTGCTTGACCATGAGTATTTGCAACGATGCGTGTTTGTAAATGTTAGAAATTCAAATAGAATGCTAAAATACTGGTTTGTTGGTGTATTTCAAGTGAAATACTTTCTATTTTTGAGTCAACTTTTTTAAAGTTATCTGTATTACGAGCTTAATAAGTACTCAAGTTAGGTAATGCATTACATTAATTTTAACCCAATTTTTTTTTTACGGAATAACGTTTTCGGCGGAAGAGAAAGAATTCTGGTGTTCACATCAGATTCCCAAGATCAATATCAAGATTAGCTAAGGAGCAACGTCAAGTAGATGTCGAAAAGCCTCAATCTCCAATTTATTCCATCTTTTGGGAAAACAAAATAAAACGAAAGATCTGCACTCCTTCATTAGTCTATTTTTGGCGCATGTACTATCTTTTTCCGAAGATATGCATGTTTTTTCTTTCAGTACAACCATTCCGGCAAATGTAAACTCAAGACTTCTAATTAAAGTCAGAGGAAAAGGACCCACCAATGGAGGTAAAGCGCTCTGTACCTAAAGATTTTTCATGCCAAGATATGAACACAAGACCTCTTATTAAAGTTAGATGGAGAGGGATCTATCTCAATTATCTAGAACTCAATTTTAGCTACCAACACTATTTTCATGAAAATTTAGGAATAGGAATTTCGAGATTAATAAATTAAACTAGTAAGATTGTATGGGTCGAAATCTGACCAGACGAGAATCCGCGCGAAGAGAAACGGCAAAAAGTCACTTGGGCCGAAGTCGTATCCATACAACGCTATAACAACACGCACCTCGGCCACGTCCGAGGTCGTGTATTTAGATTGCTTGAACGGCGAATTGGATGTTACGGCATTTCAGAGGGTCAGCCAGTAATACAGTCAAATGGTTTAGGTACTATGATTAATGACCGTTGTGTAAATGAGAATACTTAGTATATAAACTAAGTGAGAGGAAGAAGAAAGGGGGCTGAAACAAACTCACAAACACAGACATATTTTCAGAGAAGAAGAGGGATCTTCATCTCTTTCTCCCCGCTAAGGAGAAAGAAGCATGGAAGCTCATATCGTCAGTATACATCGTTAGTCTCATCATATTAAATGTGTGGGGGTCAACCTTGTTAAAGATCGGTGACCCTTTTTATCTATGTATTCTTCACTATTATCCAATGATATGAAAAGTACAAAGTTAGCTAATGGGGCGAAAGATTTTTCATGCCAAGATATGGACTCAAGACCTCTTATTAAAGTTAAATGGAGAGGGATCTATCTCAATTATCTAGAACTAAATTTTAGCTACCAACACTATTTTCGTGAAAATTTAGGAATTTCGGGATTAATAAATTTAACTAGTAAGATAAATAGTAACTTTGTACACCTGAAATAGTCAACATCACGAATGAATTTTACCAAGTTAAAAACAATTTATAATTTAATCATACTAAAGTTCAAGTTTTAAAAAGATCAAAATATATGACTTACCGCTTTCAGTTACAGGTTTCCACCTTTACAGTAACTTGCTGCTCAGAACAGTTAAGAAAAATGGACGCTTCACTTAACTCAATTCCAATATAACGCGCTCTTTTTTCCATTCAGATGCTCTTTCTTCACAACATCGTGATACAGGTATGTAAGAAAATGGAAATATTTTTCTGACTCGGAACAAACAAAAAAGAAAGGAAAATTGTGTAAATTCAGAAATTAATGATAAATCTATTTCTTCATTTTCAGCTATGCCTCAACGGCTGCTAGAGAATTAAGGGCAAAAACCACTTCTTCAAGCTCTTCTATTCGTAGACCTGAATCTGCTGATGAACCAAAGAAAGCTTCTTTTTTCCCCCCCTCAATGGTTAGAAATAAGCTATTCCTTTTTCCATATTTACCAAAACTGTGATAGTTTGGTGCGGTTTACTAAGTTGTGATCACAAATGGAAAGTGAGTATGTGTAGTTGCAGGAAAAGAAAATTACTATTAAAGGAAAGAAAAGGAAGAAAAAAAAGAAAATTTCGTGCAAGTATGTATATTGATGCAGAAAAAGAAAATTGCTACTTAAAGTAAGGAGAGTTAGAAATTAGTACTAGTAGATATTGATGGATCAAAGTCCAATTTCAATCCCAAGAATGTGAATAGGGCGGGGCGGGGTGGAGCAGGTCAAACCTTGACCTGCTAAAAAATAAACCCACACTGTCTTGCCCAGTTTAGCATTTTAAAAAAATTATTAACTTATTTTAGTGTAGTGACATTGATGCCGTACGACTGTGGAAGACCAAACATCAATATCGCCAAGATTTTCATGTTCAAGTTCACCGTTCACACGGTTACTAATAGTGTGACCCTCTTTAATGTACAATAGAAGCGGAAAGAGAGGCACATTTTACATGATTGCATGCACCAACTTTAGATTTTTGTTATGCAACTCATCCCACATTACAGCTGCTAATCCTACCTACAGCATTACAAGACCCTCAAAGATACATAAAATGAGGAAGGGAAAAAAAAAGCAGATAAAGAAAAAGGAAAATACAATCCTACGCTATCTAAAATGAAGAGTCGCTCTTTTGAAGAGGTAAATCAAAACCAGAATCTCATTCTAAGTGAGTTCCGAATTTTTTTTTTTGACAAGTGCTTCTGACTTTACAAGCTATTTCTTCATTTGCTCTTTCTCACATCATCAAGATA